TCAAGATCTATTTAATATTACAACACTTTGAAGCTTGCTGATGAATCATAACTTATAAACTGTAACTGAGTTTCAAGGAATATTCAATATTCAAGATCTATTTAATATTACAACACTTTGAAGCTTGCTGATGAATCATAACTTATAAACTGTAACTGAGTTTCAAGGAATATTCAATATGAAATGAAATTATACAGTCTCGAGTGTCTGGTTTGTTAGCCTTTATTTCTCTCGTTTGGTATACTTGTATTTGCTACCAGATAATCAGGTTACAATTTAGCATGGGATGATTATTGAGAACACATGTGATCAACTATTTACATGTAGATGATAGAATGACAGATTTATTTATTTAAACTATAGTTGCTGTGAATTAACGTAAGTTCTTCCCATTGTTAATATATGATTAATGTTTTAGTTAATTCCAATGGGGTATGAGTTGACATTACACATAAACAAACTTCACTAATTAATAATTTTTAAATTAACAACTTTTTAGTCTCAATTTTTAGTACTTACATTAATTATTCTTTCCTGCAACAGAACAGTGTATGAACGACTAAGCCTAAATAAGTAAAGTTGCAGTACATGTACAACAAAATGTAAACCCTATGATTTATAAGATAACTCTTTGTTAATTCTGTAATATTTCAATCATATGGGCAACCAAGACAAAATACGTGATCATCCCACAGTCCGCAAAGTCTTAGACCCAAGAACTGATTTAAAAGTAAACATTTAATAGAAGTTTCTTTGAAAGCCAAAAGAAAATTAAAGATGAGATAGATAACTGTTTTCAACATATTCTGTGTTGGTTATTTCCTTTCTTTCTATTCATTATCTTTGTTTTATGTACCTTTTTATTTGTCATTTACTTTTATATATATATGCTTGTATTTTTTTTAATAAGTATTATTTTTTGGTTACTTAAAACCAGTACTAGCCGAAATTTATTTCACATGAAAATGTATTTAACTACATGTAATAACTGATTTTCAACCGAGTTATATAGTCTACTGAAAAAAAAGTATCTAAACTTATGCTACATTATTATTATTTAATGTAAAATTCATTGCTGTGTACTGATGATAATGTTTTAGATTTAATTGATAATTATTTCACCAACAGGAGTCCTGCTGAAACAGCATCAAAGCGACGGCAGATATTTTTGTCAGCCAAGAAACGATATCCAATTAATCAAGATCTGTACGATTCAGTTGGTCTGTACCCTACAGTGAACTTTCAGAAAACACTAAAAGCTGCATTAAACAAAAAATGTTCTAGTAGTCCTGTAACAGTGAAGATTGCTCTTCCTGATGTCTTGAAGAAGTCTAGTTCAAGGTATGAAGTCAAGTAAAAAATGTATTTGTATTAGCCAACATACAAACATCAACATAAGGAAATAACATTATTCATAAAATTTTTTTATTTTGAGTTTTTGTAAAAAATTACACATATTTTCTCAAGATTTTTGAGACTTTATAATAGTTGTACGAGATAATATAAACATGTTTCATTTGGAATGAGTTAACCATTTCTAATTTGTACGATGTATTTATGTTTTGTTTAAAAGCTAAATATATGTATAATTTTTATCTGCTGTTCAGTTAAATAATGTTTAAGATTGTACCTGCAATATTGTAACTTCCAGTGTGTTAATTAATGGATCATCCCTCTATCTTGTTGTGGGTGTAATGTTCAGTTAAATAACGTATAAGATTGTACCTGCAGTATTGTAACTAAGAGTAGTGTAACTTAGATAAAATAGGTAACTTCCAGTGTGTTAATTAATGGATCATCCCTCTATCTTGTTGTGGGTGTAATGTTCAGTTAAATAACGTATAAGATTGTACCTGCAATATTGTAACTAAGACGTAGTGTAACTTAGATAAAATAGTGTGTTAATTAATGGATCATCCCTCTATCTTGTTGTGGGTGTAATGTGATAGTTGTTTAAGAAAAAGGTAATTTAAACGAGATGCACATGAGGGGAACAGCGACATGTAAAGAATGGTGCCGTTAAGTTTTCCTAGTGCTCTAATGTGGACTGTTGGGATGTGTAGATATGAAGCATCGACAGTGTTATAATGAGTGTTGGAAGAAGACGAAAAGCTCTACAGCTTGGTTTTGGTGTATGATCCTTTTCTCACCACTAATAACTTAAAATAGTTTAGGTGGTTGGATAACATGTCATGTATAAATGAATTAATTATCCATTATTATTCAGTGAACTTAGTGATTATTTATTTGTGAATTTAGAGGCTTAGTCTGTTATTTGATTTGTTATAGTTGCTGCAGCACACTAGTTTCAATGCATTCACAGTTCGTCGGTGTTTCTTGGAAGAGTGAAGCAAATAAAGTAGGTCTCATATAATGGTGGAATGTAAGCATGTTGTTTGTTTTTGTCATGTGGTTCTTATGACAACAGTGGAGAGTCCAACTTTGCTTATGAATTACTCAGATATCAACAGTGGGGTCTTCGCACTCGTATTACTGCTCACTTCTTCCGGTCCACAATCCAGAGACCATATTCTTCTGCTCCTACAAGATCCAGCACAGGTGATATTCCTGATGAAAAGGGGAAGTCCATTCTTATCCACTCTCAATTCTCCATTCATTTGAGGGTTTTCTTCATTCCTACTTCAGTTGGGCCCAGTTTTCTCTTTCGTCTTTGGGAGCAAGCAGTTCACAAGGCCCTCACCTCACATTCTCTCACAGCTCAAGAGGTTCTATCTCTTTTGGGGATGTGGGCTTCCATGTAAGCTCTCATTCCCATGGGTCGGGCTCTTATGCATTCCCTTCAGTTGAACTTCTACTCTGATCAATTGGAACATCCATTTACCCTTCATTTCCATATCTGAGCCGAGCTGGCTTGGTGGTTAGACAGAGACTAGGTGAGGATTCCTCTGCCTCGTCCAACTTTACATCTGTTCGTGGTCTCCGCTTTAGATGGTTGTGGTGTTTACCTTGACTTTCTGGAAATTTTCAGTCTCTGGTCAGTCAAGGAGTTTTCACTGCATATCACCATTCTCAAGCTAATGGCAGTTGGTTGAACTTTGTCCAATTTCCTTCCTATCTTGCAGGGGGAGGATGGTTATGGTACACTTATATCACCAAGCAAGGGTGTACTAATTCCAGGTATCTGTGTTTCGGATCCTGGATTTCCTTTTCTGGGTCCACAGACACCACATTGTGAATAAAATCGGAGAAAATATTAGGTGCCATAAAGACGTGACACCTGGAAATTGTGAAGGCCTGCATTAACCCTTTCGATACAGGTCACAGCTGAAAGGCCATGTCATCTCGTTTGTTGACTTACATTTAAAATTTTATTGAACTACTATTTCGAATTTATGTCAATAAGTTTGGTATCAAAC